GGGGGGGTGAACAGAAGAGTGTTTCAAAGATGTAAAAGAGACGGACACAAAGTTTGAGAGTAGGGTAAGGCAAATACTGTGAAAGTATGAGTATGGCATACAGTGGGGTCACGGTAGTTTGAAGTCAGAAGTCAACTGCCGATTAATAGACTTTTTTGCCGTATGAGTATACGTTGCCCATGATGCACCACGTGGAGGTAAGTTTATCGCACACCCCTTGTTTTGAAAGTAAGAATCCATGAGAAGGAAAAAAGATACCACTTAAGGGTGGAGAACACTAGTCAGATTATGGTCTTTCCAGCCTTCCAAGCTCTACTGAAACCAAAGACGGGGAGGGGGAGAGATGATGGGGGAAAATAGACCCTTGGTGCGGTTGGCGAAGTGTATGTTTACCAGGTTAGAAGTAACTAAGTTAAATGCTTATCGGAGCATATACAGTAATATTAGTGGCCATATGCATTAATTAATTTCGGTCAAAATGAGATGTGGTAGAATTCTAGCCTCCCAAAAGTTCATTAGCACAATAACTTCTCTCAACGCCTACCATATTACTTTCGGGAATTTTTAACAACAAAGAGATTAAATAACAGCAGAAAAATGAATTAATTGTAAGCGAATCAGGATAACATTTAAACGCAGGAGGGGGGGGGGGGTTTAGTTAAATTCTAGGTCTCTTACTTTTATTATTATTATTATTATTATTATTATTATTATTATATAGAGCAACAGAAAGGATGATTTGAACATGATACTAAACCAAGGTGAAATGTTTAAATGAACGTGTTTGAAATGGCTTAATCGGAACGTCTAACTTATAAGCTCTCAAGGCAAAACTAGGCGAATCTGATCAAAATATCGAGACATATATGCTCAAAAATGCGAGATACATACCTATAGTAGCTAAAAGGATAGAATACGCTTTGATTTCTAAGATTTATTGATTTATTGTAATGATGGTCAATAATTGGTCAATATTTGGAAATGGAAAAAGATGTGGCAGGCCATACAAGGCTATCTTCTTTCGCATATCGCTCAGTGAATGTTGAAATTAATGAATTTCATAAATCAAAATAGGGAAAAGTTTCTAAGCCATTATATTTAGACAGAAACATACTCTAGAGGCATATAGTAGATTTGAAATGCTACTTTCACCATTATTCAAATACTGTTTATTTCAAGCTGGAGAATAGAAGATTAGTAACTTTTGGCGAAGTGTATTTAATAATAATAAAAAGGTACCCCCAAATTGATGGGTTAGAGTACCGATGGACTTTGAGAGCAACACTGCAAGCATAGTTCCGGTCTATAATTTTGCACCTAGTCATCATTGAGAGTCTTTGGTTAAATACTTGACTATTTTGAAGAAAAATGAGTAGTTTGAGTAGTTGCCGACGGAGGAGGAGTAGTATAACGTATTTTTTGTCGATAATTGCTCAGAAAGTTGGTTATATCCTTTATGAAATATTACACAAAGTTTCGTTAGTACCATCTTTTTAATTAACGACGAGGTTTAGATAGGAAAGGAAGCTTACAGGGAATTGAAAAGACTTGATGTAGGACCATATTATTTAAGGAAACATTTAACGTGAGTTTAGAATAAGGTGGTGACTCAACGAATTGGTGGAATTCGTTATCACTTCGCTGTTATTTTGGTATCAATAACACAGGATAAATGATTCAAGCACTTTGGTTAATAGGTAGTGAGCCCCAACAGACCGAGTCCTCCCTAAGTTCCGTCAACTCCAGCTCTTACATCGCACCGATTAAACTAAAATCCACCGATATTGAATACTCCGCACGTGGGAAGGATTTCAGCGGGTACGTTGCGCCTCTCCCACCTCCTTCCTCAAACCATCAACCTCCTCCACCACCATATGATCAGCACTCCTCTTACTACGGTGCACCGTCAGCTCTAGCATCAATGGATCACATGGCCTCGTCCCTACTCCGTCAGCAACATAATCAACAGCAACAACAACAGCAGAGCCAACAATCTCAGCCGTTACACAGCCTCCTAGCCCAACTACATCCCACGTCTTATAAACCCTATGGAGATGTCTCTGCAATTAACTACTATGGCTATCAACAGCGTCCATACTCCAAGCCAAGCTTCGTGGAGTTAAAGGGCATATTGAGGCATAGAAGGAGCCAATACCCTATGGATGCTTTCACTTGCGGATACTGTCAGATGCATGTAGAAAGTGGCGGCGGCGGTGGTGAAGGAAGGGAAGAGGGGGAAGGGGTTTCGTATTCGAGGTGTTTTGGATGTGGAATGCCAGTGCATCACTTCTGCATTCTACGCTACCGAGGAACAGGAGGCAACGCGGTGTCTCGAACCTCGAATAGTCAGCGTCTCTGTTATCCTTGGGTTTGTACGGAGTGCAAGTCGTGCTGGATATGTGGAAGCGGAGCGAATGAAGTAAGTGGGCCGAGAGTATTGATATTCGATATTTTGAATATTCATTAATCTTCGTTGTGTTTGTTTACATTTAGTTTGATTGGTAGATGATAGCTTTCTAGGAGTGCCGAAATAAGGTCCGTTTCTTAAGTTCATTGATATGAGTTTGGATTAATTTAGAAATGGATCTCCTAGCATACAGTTGTACAGATGAAATTGGGGTTTATAATCATCTCCAATTTAAACATTTTTTAAAAATTTAAACCTGAATAAAAATGATGTTCATAAATCCGTGGCACAAATGCTTTTTCACGTAGGCATTACTATTCTCAAAAAATTCAATGTGAAGTAGAATTTCAAGTTCTGAAGTGACAGAATATGATATAATGTAAGGAATTTTACAATTTTTGAAATTTGCATGAACACTTCTAGTGATGGTTGATATATCAAGGTCAAACATCATGTTGCAATGACAGTTTCTACTTACACACACAATGTAGTCATAATAATGCAGTGGTCTTTTGCATTGACCAAGGCATTTTCATCGGACCTTTCCAAATAGTTTTGCTTGTACCTCCCAATATTTTAGTCAGTTTACTGGATAGTATTTTTCAAGAAATTTCGCTCCTTTGTTCGAAATTGATTTCAATTACGCTTAATATTTTCGGTGTTATTCTGATTATATTGACTTCAGGCTTCACAGAGGGGAGTGGGGTGGGGTGTGGAATCAAAGTCACAAATGATCGAGTGTGTGGGGGGGGGACAGAAGAGTGATTCACATGTGTAAAAGAGACAGACTGGCACAAAGATAGAGAAAAAGGAAAGACGAGGTTGAGTACTGTGGAAGTGGTGGAATATGACATACAGCTGGGTCATTGTAGTTTGTAGTCTACTGCCGGTTTGTTGGCACTTTTGCCGTATGGTTATACATTGCCCAGGTTGCACCACTTGAAGGTAAGTGTCGCGTACCCCGTGTTATTTTGGTTATATATCACCGTAAGATTCAATTTCTGGAAGGGGCTATCCGTGACCCAAAGGGACTGTTAGCCAACGGCACAAGACAAGGCTGCTCATTCGAAAACGTGAACAGTAAAGCAGTCAATAATGTGTGGGGGGGGGGTTAGGTGAAGTGGATTGCTTGAAGAGGAGAATAGAGTCAGTATTCATAAAGAGCTTTGCCTCATTTGGAGTTTAATTTCAGCTTAAAAGTGATGGATTTGGTGGTTGCCATAACTGTAGTTCAAGGCTTTACACCACAGTGATTCAAAGTTCGAATTGGGCCATTTGTCTCCTATATACCTGAGTGAATTCAAATGAATAATGCCAAGGTCTTATTGACTAATCAACTAATTTGGAAGGTTAAATTTCATTTAATTTGGCTTATGCCATTGTGATACATGCTAGTATACTTTTACCTCGGTTGAGATCATTGGAGTTCACTCAAGGTGTACTATAGGTGTTCCGTCTTCGAGAATATTTTCCTTCAAGGGCACAGCACAAATAATACTAGAAATAATAAGACACCTGGTTGCGGGGGATATAAACTTCTCTCTTCCGATGAGATTGGTACATCGATTATCGTCATTAAGTTAAAGAAAGGTGTGAGCAGTCTGAAATAATATATTTATTTTCGAAATATCTGGCTTTCTTATTAGATTAGAACCAAATTCATTAAAATGTAGTACTTGTGGTATGAATGTATTCAAAAATAAACAAAGCCAATTTAAAGCCAAATTCTCTATAATTGGGGGGGGGGGGGGGGGGGGG